AGATGGCAATAGCGCCCTGCATGTGTTTGTTTTGTTTTTTTTCCTTCCCAATTCAAAAAAGCAATTAAACTGTTCCTGACTACTATCAATTTGCTTAAGGATTGCTTTTGTGGCTATGGTAACTTGTTACTATTGCTGTTACCTATTACTACCGTTCTGCACCACATGATCTGTTCACTTGCATTGCAATTGCAAAACAAGCCATGAAAGGCACAATTACACTTAACCTTATGTTAAAACATCTCCCTCTCTGCTACGCTGTTTTTTGTGTCATCTTTCTGTTGCCGTCACGATCCTCCGAATGCCTCGTGGTTTTGGGAGCGATACTGCCAGCATGTTGCCATCCCTTCCCGTCTCGATTTCGGTGAGAGTTTGCCTTTCAAGCGAGGCTCCTATCTCGCTGCGGTTTTCAACCCAGGTGTAAAGTTTTATCGGCATCTGACAATACTTGTCTTAATGACTGACTCATAATCAAACACTCATACATGTTGGTATTTCACTTTTATGGAGAACAGGCCTCGGTTTTGGCAACGTCTGTCGCAGCAGGATTTTCTGCCAGTCTGCAGCGGTTGAAGAAAGCATTTAGAACGGCGGTCTGCTGACTCGCGGAATGAATCCTGCACTATGCAAATGGATTAATTAACGGATAAAAGCCGTTTGTTTTCATTTAAACACATTGTTTTTTTGTTTTTTTTACCAGATTCACACCAAAACCATTCTTCTCCCGCGCTTTCGTTATTTTTGTTTTTGCGGAAAATGGAAGTAATCGTTAGCGGCAGACCTACTTACCTAGATTTTGAACTTGTGGTTCGTAAAAATTCGAAACAAACCTAAACCCTGTGCATAAGTGGAAGGACTCTTAGTCTGACAAAAAACATGTGAGACAAGAAATCCTAAGAAGAATCCTGAGATAAACAAGTCAAAATGTACAATGAAACATTTCTGACTTATATGAAGACATCTGTGGCTAACATAGCTGTCCTTCTTTACAGCAACAGTCGAAAGCCTACCATTCACGGAGTCTGTCACTTTAATTCAGTCAAGCTTGAAGCCGAGATCGTCCACCAAAAAGCCTGAGGTTTTTACACGGCCTCTGAAATGCTCAAGGGACTTAACAGAAATCGCTGAGGTTGTTTCATCAGGAAGCCTTGAAGTATTGAAAGCCCAGATTAACGCTGGAGCAATCAGGCCTTGATCTTCCACAACTGCACTGTTTTCACCTATGAGCTCCTTGTGTCTCTCTTCTTGATGTTGCTTGGGAATGCTGCAACTACGACTAATGCCTCCTTCTGTAACTCATCATTTTCACACCCAATATCAGAAAAGGGTTAAGACCAGCAAGTTATTGTTCTACATCAGCAAATCCCATTGGAATCAAGTGTAACATTTGGCAGTGACTGTGAGACTTCCTGTCTATACCAACTAGACATTTCTGGTCATTGATTGGATAGTGCAGTAGTTACTGGCATACTTCCAGCCATCTTTGATTTTTTTTAGACTTTGTCAATTGAATTTTTGTACAACTTGCTGTTCTGATGTGTCTAGAATTATCACTTCAAGATGATCCCTCTTACGATTCCTCTTCAAGCTTCAAAGCCTTAATGTGATTAGCTTACAGTGATGAATAAACCTACAATTTTGGGGAGAATTTCTTCTTACTCCACCCATTAACAGTGTGCAGGAAAGCACACTTGACATTGCACAACCCTGCCCAGAAAACACATTCAACCTCCCCTTCTGCATGCTGAAAAGATTTTTTCTTTACAGCCATGATAGAGTTCCCGAAATCGTAAGTACGGCTAAATTCTGAAGATGGTTACAATGTCTTTGAAAACTTATTTGCAGAAGTGATATCTTTGACACCACAGTTGTGATTGAATGACATGATCTTCTAAGGGTGAGGTGAAGGGGTATCAGGACAGGACTGGAAGGTAATGTGATCACCAATATACTTGTCATGGTTTCTACAGTTATTGTGAGCCAATGGGTGTAGTCTGGCCATTGCCTCCCACATATTGAATTGACATTAAAAGCCGCCTTGTTGGGATTGGCACTTCTCTCTTTGCAGGATGGGGGATGGTTGCTTAAAGGGGAGGCAATTTCCAGTAAGCTTCTCAGCGTCGAACTGGCGCATTAGATACGTTACGGGCCAACGTTGGTGACCGGATAAAATTTAAAACCTCAACACAGCCCCTGCCTCCAGGAAGCAATCGCCCAGGTCATCTTGTAGCAGTCTGTATTGGTGCAAATTTGAAGGGATTTTTGACTGAAGACTCTTTTTCTCTATCTTTTTTTGATGGCCTCATGAAGAGGATACTCAGGGTTGTCCATAATTTTCTTGACTTTATTTAAAATCATTCTTTGCACCATTGTCTCCTGAGGTTCCACACAACAGAACCAGCTTCCTTTATCAGGTTAAGCCTTTTTATGTCCCTAGTTCTGATGACGGCAGAAGAAATGAGACTCAACAACAGACTTATACATCTGCAGCATCTTCCTGTAATCCTTGAAGTATCTAAGCTACCTCAAGAAATACAGCCTGTTCGGTCCTTTCTTGTAGACGGCTTCACTGTTGAATCTCCAATCAAGTCTGTTATCCAAATGAACACCAAGGTATTTATAATTCCTCAACCACCTCCACTAATGATTGCCTTCATGCCAAAGAATCTTTAAAACTTGTGCTATCCAGCTATGGTCCAATATGGCATGTAGTTCTTGGAAAGCCAAGAGTTGTCCTACCACAGTCTGAAAGACAGCTTCCTCTATTTGATTCCGATTCTTCATTGTACCTCTTTAGATGAGTAACCATAGCCCAAGTCATGTTTGGCTGCCTTCGCCGTTTCTTCATTAGACCCCTCATTTATTCAGACGCATAGCTTAACCCTCACTGTGTTGCTCTTAACATAGATCTTCTTGTTCCTAATAAAAATATCTTTCAACCACCAGCTTTGTGTTCACCTGGGTCACGACTGAGCCAGTAAGACTTTATTTGTGTTTTTCACTCATTATTTGCCAAGGGCATGAAGGTTGGACCGGGAATTCAATTTGACCAACATTATAGCTCGTACTATTAAACAAGCCAACACCTAAAATAACATCCTCCCTTAACAAAAAACAAAGACATTTACTACACGAAACAAGGGAATCTGCAAAAAAAGGATGCCATTTGATATTTAGGTATTTAATCCATGTCAGTTGTATCTTACAAATGGGAAAGACGTGTACCATGTCCATGAACGTACAAGACAGAAACGGGAACTGACGCAAATCTCTTGTAGTTTATAAGAGGGGGTGGGGGGGGGGGGGAAAGTCCGATGGACTTGTTCTAAAGTAATGGGGTGAATGGTAAAGTTGCAAATCTTGTTCAAAAGTATTTTCACCTACCACTGTCTAACTGTAGACTTGGGTAAATCTAATGAAAAAGCTATGTTTGAGGTGACAAAAAAAATAATTTTCTTCTTCTACAAGTTACCCAGAGTGTGGATTCCAAACATTTGGTTCTTAGGTAAGCAGGAAAGCTTTGAAGCTGTGGGACCCATTGACAACATCCAACACTGGATGGCATCTAAATGGCATCAAATGAGTTTAAAAGGATAGAAATTCTGGGCGCCTTTGCATGAAAGCCGTATCTGCCAGGGTTCCCCCCCCCCACAACTTTTCTTCACCACTCATCCTGTGTGAGGAAGTCCACTCATGATATTTGAGAAGTTTTATTTTTCTTTTTTTCCAATATTTCTTACAACAATACAGACATCACAGATTACATAGTTTTACAAACACAAAGCACACCACCATCTTGGCTGCTGATGCCGCTGCGGTAAAGGGAAAAGGGGAAAATGCTCTGGGTTGGTTGAGATTACCAGTGTAGCGTTGGACATCTTTCCTTTAAAGAGCCTTTACTCATTTGTTACTGCTTAAGGGAAAGAAAAGAAAAACCTGCCCTTTGGACTTGCTTCTTGGGACCTTTTTATGCAGCACAGGATTATGGGAATACTAGGAAAAAGAACTTTTGTTGGAGACAAGTAGGGGTAAAAAAAAAAAAAAAAAAGTGTCTGCTGACTATGATGTGATCATGGCGTTACCCCAACAGAAACGAAGAAGAAATGGCTGGCGAAAAGAAGAAGCTGTCCTAAAAAAAAAATGTTTCAGAGAACATTTGGGCTGCTCTGCATGGTTTCAGGAAGGCTTGGGCAATAGGAATCTCTCCACTCAATAAAACTAACATTTGTCCTGGCTTTATGTTCTGATCTAGTTTTCCAGGGTAACCTGCAGAAAAACTACACCACCTAAAATCTTGACAATCTAGTCTCGAGTAGTTTATTATTTTTATTATCTTCTTTTTATTCCTGTACATTCAAATAAAACTTCAACAGACCTTAAAATGATCTTTTTTTTTCTTTTCAAAAATACAGAAGGCTTTTTATTCCAGCCATTTTTTTCCCCCACACACACACATTATTCCCAAACCAACTTTTGGCTCAAAAACCCCCAAAACAAAAAAAAAAAAGGATTTTAAATGTATGCTTCGGTGTGTCTTTCGCATGTACAAGTGTGAATGAGAACTCCATGTCATTTACACCCAACATTGTAAACTTACATAGAACTATATTACATGTGCTTGCACTGCTTTTTGGAAGGGGGGCAAATTTTGGTTTACTTCACTAGAACACCACAAAAAAAAAAGAAAATGAAAAGAAAAGAAGAAATGGAGGACAGGGAGCGTCAAACTTCTTTTTCCGAAAGGTTCGGATGGGTATTCTCAGTTTGGTTGAAAGCTCAATATTGATGGCTGGTCCAATTTTTTTTTATTTTATTTTCCAAACACTTAAGCAAAAGTTCTGTGAGGAAAGAGTTTGTTTTTTCAGAAAAAAAGACAAAAAACAAACAAACAAACAAAAAAGATTAAAAAAATAAAATAAAACAAAGAAGGTTTCTGTCAAGTCATCAACGATGATCCTGCTCTCCAAGCTGGAGACAAATTTTAAAGAAGCGCGGGAACGAGGAGTTCATCCCCAGCAGCGTGAAGCTACCAGGAGTCAGCAGGACTTTTTATTTTTAATGGGTGGGGTAAGGGCTCTCCACTGACAAAAGTCCTTCAGTGGAACCTATTTGTTAAACATCTGGGACTTCGGGTCACCATATTTTCTTTTCTTTCTGCATATGGACGACCGGACAGTCAACGAGAGTGTCTATGCGTCACTTCTTCAACAGAGTGTCAGCCTCCCGAAAGAGCCAGTGGAGTCTCAAAGACTGCTGTCTTGTCTCTAAATGCTCTCGGAGGTTTGGGGGCGAACAGTCCACAGGAGAAAGCTAAGGGTGACAAATGGGGCAAACGGCAGAATCCATGGTGAAGGAAATGAAAGAGGCAGCTGTTGTGCTCTTTACAAGTAGACGCGCCTCAGGTCTCCAGGTGAGGTGATGGTATTGCACTGCGGGCACAGCTTCTTGTTCCCCTGTGGTGGGCAGACAGAGAAGAGTTAGCTTGGCTGCTAATGAGATTAAGCACCACTTTATGACGCTGTAAGGTGTTTGGGTGTTTGTTCACATAGCGATTTAATTCAAAAGGTTAAGAGGGATGCAACTCGTGTTTTTCTTTTTGTTTATTTGGATTTTCGTAATGTTCTGTGTCTCAGGAAGAACGTCCACAACATGAAAACTCAAAACTTCACCGTGCATCTAAACATGATTGTAACTGTGTTTTCTTGACTCGTCTTTTTAGACTCCGACAGCTCCGTTACCAAATGAAACGCAAAATTGACTATTATCTGAAATGGAGGATTTGGACCAGACAGAGTAGCAGGTCAGTTCTGTCTGTCCTAATCCCAGGTCAGACGTTTCAGGAGGGACTTGATCATTTCCATTTTGAAGATTAATATCTTTTGTTGGGTCATTTTGTTTACTCATAATCCATTTTATTTATGGTTTTGGCTAAATGTGTTTTTTATTTGAGTCCTTTTTTTTAAATTAGTTTTGGTTGTCGCGTTTTATTTTGGATCTTTAAAATGTTGGTGTTCTTTACAAAGTTGAAGTTTTTTGTTTTCGTCGAGAGAGAAAATGTTCTTTGTTTTGCCGTTATCAATATATTACTTTAAAACGGTCTCAAAAGAAGAATATAATTTATCGCAATAATTACTGTGACAATTTATCATCCAGCAAAATGTGTTATTGTGACAGGCCTATTCTTCTACTACACGTTTCCCCTTCCAGTCAACTTTCCATAAATATACTTAAATATGACACCTTGTCAGCTTCCTTACTAGAAACCTTTAATGTTTTATCCTCCTCATGCAGGATGTCAATGACTGTCTGCTGGACAACTATCAGGTCAGCAGTTTTCCCCATGATGGTGAGGGCGTAACATAAAATGTGTTTTAAAAGTCCTTTTTCTCGTTGTTATGAGATATTGGAATTTTCTTATAAACTAATCTTTGGTTTTTCATCGTGAACAACGAAGTTAGCAAATAAATCTTTCAAATACATCACTTTCTGACCTGTGTTACTAAAACAAATGAACTTTTTAATGATATTCCAGCTCAATGAGATGGACCTGAAACCTTGTGCAAGTCAAAATAAATCACTCGGTTCAACAAAGCAACATATGTAGAGTCTCCGAGTTCTTAATTATGTCAAAGTTTACCAAGGCCTGGCAGAAGTACTAACATTTATGGCGACTCATTACCTCCTTCCTACAAATGTGGGGATAAGTTAACCTTCTTACAGCAGTGCACCGTTTCCTCTCCTCGCTCTGCTTTGATAGCGCGCCATCTGCAGTAAAGCAGCAGGTGATAATACGCAACGCAGGGCAGAGAGCGCTCTTCGATTCAGAGTGGGTGGTCTCAAGGATTTTTTTCCTTCACCTCCCGTCTTTCCAGCTTCCCTTCCATCCTGTTTGTTTCGCGTTGGCTCGTAACGGCTAGCTGCAGGCGCCTTCTGTTTACTCGGTTTCGCCGCGCGGTCATTACAGGAGAAGCTGGGCATCGTCGTCTTCTTGAACAACGATACAGCGTTTGAGTCGAGCAACTCGCACAGCAGCAGCAGCGGTTTAAGGTTGTGCCACCATGCCTCATAACTGCTTCAGAATAAACAACAGCGGCGCGGTGTGAAAGGAGAAAATGAGTAACAGCTCGAGAGGAAATTGTGGATAAAACGGGAAAGGTCACGCCTCCAGCTTGGCGGCGCTTCAGATATTTAAAACAAAACACTAAATCTGTATTCATCAATGTGAAACGTTTATAATGTGATACATTTTTCAGCTGTTTTGCCCAGAAATGTACAAAAGAAAATTGCACATTTTGTACTTTAATAGTGTCAAGATTTTTTGGGGGAGATTTATTGCACAGACTGAATGTCACATCAGATGGGTTCGCAACAGAAGTGAGCAAACGGTGAAGACTAACGTTATCCAACCGACTGAAAACCAATTAATACTTTCCAACGACAGATGCAAGAAAAAAAAAAAAAAAAAAAAAAAAAGCTAGCAAGCAAGGATTTATTAGCAGCTAGTTAGCGGTAGCCGTGCCGGCCTCAAGTCGCAGAAAGGAATGAAGATGTCAAACGTTTGACAGAAAAGTCCCACAAGAAAAATAATCAAAACAAAACATACGAGATTAAATAATCCTGCCATGAAAATCGTAAGACTTGTGATTAACTTATTTAATACCAAATAGAAATGTTTTTCTTTATTGTGAATTTGAGACATTCTAAGGCCTCAATCTTAAATCAGGCCTGCCACATCACAAACTTTATTAGACAATAAATTGTCCCAGAAGTTATTGCAATAAACGATACTGTCGTTTGAGACCAACTTCAAGGAATATAATAGTGACGGCATTATGATGGTACAAGAACACAATCTCAAGGATTATTAATTCTAATGAACATTTAACACTGGAACTGGAAACATTTTAAATATCCAAAATAAATGAACAAAAGAAACAACAAATAAGATGAATCATGAAGATAAACAAGATCGTCTTTCAAAAGAAGGTCTAGTTGAGACCAAAGCATCAAACTGAAGAACAATTTTGGTAGAACGAGAGAAAAAAAGAAAAACTATAAAACATGCACATGGAAATTATTATCATACGATTAATTGATTTATTATTACATAGATACATGAATTTAAGACTTTTTAAGGATGCGTGAATACCTTGTTTTATCTATTGAAACCTTTCTTAAGACTATGAAATATAATTTAAAATCAATAACAATGGGTGTATGTAAAGCTAGCCTGATTTTTTTTTTGTTGTTTTGCTATCACAACTCCACAGCACACAGCGTGATCCATTTCTGCCCCTAAATGGTTGACATGGTTACCTCTATGCATTAAAGTCGACGCTTATACCGGCACCCATCAAAACGAAAAGAGACAAAAGAATGTCCATCTGTTATATACATGTAAAAAAACCAAAAACAAAACCGTAACCTTCTATTGTTTCATTTGTTTTGCCACAATGCTGCTGGACAAAGTCTTTAAAGGACACTTTGGGTTGAAGGTAATCTGAAATGTGCTTTGAGGTCTGACAGATAAAGTCCTGCTAACATTCATGGCTCAAATGGGATGAAAATAAACAAGTTCAGGTACAAATATCAGGCCAACTTCTCAATAGATAATCATTTTAATTGATAATTTGAGCATACCATTTTTTTTTTCTGATTTGCACACCTATTAAAACTTACTACCCCTGTGTGGTGCGGTCGGTAAGCGCGTACGGGTGAGCTCCCGTCATGCTGCGCTCCAGCTGCCTTATTCATTACGACAGTAAGGAGCTGGGGGTTGGTGTTAACTAGATTCCTCGGCATTTACTTTGATCAGCTCGGCCCTCCCATTTTTACAGCCGTCTCCAGGCTATGAGTTTAATGCCGCATACATTAGCACGCACAGCAAATACAGGTACACAGAACACTTTTTCTCGAAAACTAAATTACAGTTTAGGTAATGAATAAAACATGCGCAGGCGGCGGCTTTCTTTGTACCCCGATGAAGTTCTCCATGAATCAGCATTGATTTTAAATTAAAGTCATGTTCCAAACAATCATTAACACGTATAAATGCCAAATAAAAGCTCATTAAAGGCAGACCGTAATATCCCACTGCGCTAAATCAGAGATGCTCCGACTGAGCCGGGACTGGATTTGATCCTCAGCGCCAGAGGAGCTGCTCCCTTCGCCGTTCACTTATCGCAGCTGCTGCGGTTCGATTTGAAACATTACAACAAGAGTTAGATGGATCTTATAGATGCTAAGTCAATTGGAAAACAATTTAATAAAAATTAAAAAAGAGGCAGTGAAGCCAGATGGTTGTGTGATCAGAGGTCATCACCATCAGATCAGGTTAGGTTTCGTGAACGCCAATGATTGGCCGAAGAGAGGTTCGATATGATCGCTTAGAAAACGCAGCGGCTTGTGGATCGACGAACAAGGATACATGTGCAGCACAGACAGAGTTGGTATTCAGTTTGACCAAGAAGACAGATGGTGGACTTTGTTATTAAGCAGTTTCATCGTCAAAAGGTGATAATTTAGTCACCGCCGTCTTCAGATCTGGTTTCTGTGCTGCTGTTTTGAGACCTACATTGAAGTTTATTTGGAACATCTGTTTGATTTGGAAGGCTATCAGAATCAAATAACATTTTCTATGTGGAGTAGATAATTCACTCACGTCCTCCGTCATATTTGTGCAGTAGTGGGGTTACTGGTAGAGGTTTCCCAAATGAAAGGTTGAGGCTTTGTAGGGACTCTAGTGTCTTAAAACCATTCCAGTAAACATGTTACTTACAACAACTTCAACTCTTCTGGGAAGGTCGTCTACATATTGGGATGTGTTCTGTCACTACATCCCAATATACTCAGGACTGTTGGTATTCGCATAGATTAGGGACAACAACCACCTACAAATAGCTGAAATTGGCAAATATTTGAGACTTTAAATATTATATCTCCATATGCATTCATTTGCATGCAGGAAACAGTCTTGGCGCTGCAGATGATGCTACATGTTGCACTGGCAATTTGTACTCTACATCCTGTACGAGTGCCCAGTAATCCTGTAGTCATGGTTTCCTCAAGATAAAAAAAATAAAAAAAGCATCACTTTTAATATGTCTGCGAGTTGAACAAGACTTGAGGGAAATACTGTGACAAAATGGGAACGGCAGAAGAGGAGACGGCAGTAAGCGGCTTATGTAAAGAGGAGGTAGTCTGGGAGAGAGGCACCAAATAGAGACTGTTCATTTTCCCCGACTTAAGGAACACTGTTTTCTTCTACTCTTTGTTACCACATTAGCACCGGCTAATTACACTCAACTGAATATATTAGACTAACTAATAACCAACAGAATAACAGGGGTGGGTGTGTGTGTGTGTGTGTGTGCGCACAGTCCCGCGGCACTGTGTATTAGATATCGGAGGTCTGAGTTCACTACTTTATTCCAACATCTTAACAAGCCTTTTGGGGACCATTCCATCTAAGCTCTTCCCCCACTGAGGCTAAAAGTGTTTGCACTGCCTGGATTGTGAGTGCAATATTAGAACAAGCCATTTGGGGAATATTTCATTTTAGTTTCTCCCTGTTGGGCACGAGAACAGAGAGAAAGTCACTGACTGTGAAATGAGGCTGCAATAATTGCATAAAATGAGGAGCTGCAGGAAAGAAGAGGATGTGAGTGAGAGTGTGTGTGTGTGTGTGTGTGTGTGTGTGTGTGTGTGTGTGTGTGTGTGTGTGGTAAGGCGTACCAGAGTCCTGAGCCAGCACTCTTCACAATGGACGTGCCAGCACTGGATGGACGTCAGAGGCATCGTGTACGAGTCCTGAAAAGGAGAAAGAAATCGAGAAATTTCAAAAGATTCACAAGTGACACAAGTTCCAGTCGCCAACATCCAACCAAACAGAACCCCGCAATGTTTCCTGACCAGTTCACGACATCGGACCGCTGTCCATGGAACAACACAGCCGGCGGGCGGGGGGGTTAAAAAACAAAAACCACTGAGCAAGGCAGCACAATGGGGTACGACTCAACGGTCAACCTTTGGGGTGGAACACACTCACTGACACGACATTGGGCAGGCAACGACTACAGATGGGAGGAGGGGCAGGTACGGGGAGGGCAGGGAGCGGGATGCAGGAGTGGGGGGAGGGGACAAAGCCGTGGAGAAGCACCGCTGTCTTTTCATCTCAGAGATAACATGGAGAGATGAGTTGGGATGAGTTGGTGAGGAAGAGGACGAAGAGGTGCGGGAGGTAGGAGGGAGGTAGCGCCTTACCCTCCGTAGGGGTTGTGGGAGGAGCCTCTTTATGCTGCTGCCGTAGCCCCCAATCACAAGGCCCCTGTACAGGCAGTACAGGCCGAGGGGGAGGGACTTAGGTTGCCTCTCTCCAACCTCGTTGGCCAGTGGCTGGGACCCCGACCACACCCCTATGCTCTTGATCTCTGCGCCTGGCTTGAGAGCAGGCTTTCTCTGCGGAAGGAGGGGAGGCGGGGAGGGAAGGTGGGGTGGGGTGGGGGTTCAGGGAGAGGAGAGTGAGGGGCGAAAGGTGGCAGCTAATCAAGGAAGCTCAACTCGTCGTGCTCACCGACACCAAAGTGCAAACAGACAGGCACGGGGACAAACACACAGACGGCCACACCGATTGACGCTAGAGGTTCCCCCCCAATGACGGCCAGAGAGTCTGTGACGACATCGCAATCGGCTGAACTGCTTCAACTCAGGACTGAAGGTTCACGTCATACTGATGAATTGACTCAGAATTAAACCAGTTCCCTCAAGAAGGAAGGCAACTTGGTTTGGCAGGTTTAATGTAAATTTAAAAAAAAAAAAAAGAAACATGACATTTATTCAAGAAACAGTGCCTTGGGAATCTGCCATTGTCGCCTTATGTTACCTACCAAAAACAAACTTCAATTTGTTGCTGGGATTTCTTGCGACAAACACCCAGGTTCAAACATCAGTTCATGCCGATGAAGCATTCCCACAACATGATGGCGCCAATGTTGTGTTTCGTTGTGGAGATTGTGTGTTCAGGGTGGAGTGCAGCGTTACTTTAAGACATGGTGCTACGGTTGTAGTACAAAATGTTCAGCTATCATCTCATCTGTCCAGAGAACCTAATCCCACATGTTTGCTGTCCCATGCTGAGCTTCCAGCAAACTGTAAACTTGATTTCTTAAGGTTTTCTTAAAAGAATGTTGTGCTATTCTTCCAAAAGAAATGGACAGATTAATGAACTGCGTGGCTGTAACATATTCTCACACCTGAGGTGATGACATCTGTAGCGGTTGCTTTACTTAACACTTTTCTTCCCTACCCTTTAAGTTTAGGCAGGAAGTCATGTCTTGGTAGGTTAGGTTGTAAAACCTAAACCTGCTTGAAACTTAAGAGTTAAGGAGCTGGCAAGAAACAAATTCGGCTTTTCTCCTTCCTCAGGACAACTGTGGAGAAATTTATGTTGGTCTATCTAATAAAATCCCAATAAAATTAAGCAAAGTTTGTGGTTGTAATGTGACAAAATATGAAAGCTTTACTGCATAATTAATTGTGCAACTGCATTGTTTTAGCTCCTATTAAACAACTACCAGTCTAGCAATAGGTTTGTGCTTAGAAATATTCTCAAGAATCACAAAATTTCCAAAAATGGCCAGTAGGTGGCAGTAGGAATTCACTGCAGATGCTGTGCTGAAGCACTAAGCTGCTTAGAAGTAGGTAGAAGAAGGTACCAACATGGTGGCAGCAGGAATAAATGTGTTTTAATAAAATTACGAGACAATGACGTAAAGGTTCTAATTCATAAAGTAAATTATTACGATGGAATATGTATAAATGTTGCTCATAGGATCCTGATCACTGAGACGACTTCGTAGGTTATTTTTCTCTGTCATTATTTTTATGCATCGGCTTCGAGGCTTTCGGTGGAAACCTCCGCCTCCTTCAAAAACCCGCCCCATCCCCGGCAATAAGTGAGACTAATCTGATGACTTTTAGATCAGACAATGTGACAGGACAGGACAGAGACAACCTAAAGACAGACAGACATAGACAGATTAGATGGAGGAGTGTGGACACATATTTGCGTTTCTCTGCGGGGCCCCCAGAGTGTGAGAGAGATAAGGGACAGTGACAGATGAGTGGCGAGGAGCCGCGTGTCCATGGGGCAGTGAGTGATCGATCGCTGTGCCTTGCCCTCCGTGTCACCTCAGGCACTAAGCGACCTTTAGGAAGCGCAGGCGTTGGTAATTACCCGTTTTACACACACGTGCGCGCGCGGACACACACAGGGACAGAATGCCAATGCCGAACTGTCCACAAGCTTGAAGGATGACAGGATGGGTACTTGACATAAAGTGGGGAGAACAAACACCGATCACGGGATGCAACTTCGGATGAAAGGTGTTTGATCAAACACGAATATTGTCCCCTACTTCTGATAATACTGATTGATGAATTTCCATTAAAAACAGCTAAACAGAGAACCTTAGTGCTGACTCGGCTGCCATCATGCACTGCTAACGTACAATGGGAACAATTTCACTCTCATCTTTTGGGTTTAAGCTAGCAGGTAAATTGTTGACTAGAACATGAATATCACGCAGACAGTTGCATCAACTCGCAGGGCCATGCGAGGGCTAAACCCACAAAATATACGTAAAAACACCAAAAAAAAAAGTCAAAGGTAAAGATGGATGTTACTCGTAGCATGCAAATGGGGAAGAACAAGCAAGCCGCAGGCAGGCTCCAAGATAATGTGGAGTCTGTGGAGTTCTTCAAGAGCAACATGGAAAATGATCAGAGAAAATAGCCTTCGATAAAAATAAAAAAAAACCTGAAGATTTTACCTCAAATTCTTAATAGGATTTCCTCCGTTTTGAAGAACTGAATGAATTGATATTAAAACTTTCAAAGTGTCTTGCATAAAGTATTCACACTCCCTGGCCTTATTGACATACAGTTAATAAAAATGAACAAATTTAGCTCTGGACTTTGAGTGGACTGTTGTTGTGGATATGTGCAGCTCCTCCAGAGTAACCTCATCTAGTTAATTCTCTCCAATAATAAAAAGCATGCGTTGAAACATTGAAACTCGTCTTATGTTTTGTGGTAAAATGTGATAAAAGTTCAGGGAGTGTTGATACTTTTGCAAGGCGCTGCGGCTGAGGCGCAGCCTAGTGGACAGCCTTCAGAGGAAGATTTGCTCACCATGCAGATGAGACACTTGTACCGGTCTCCCCGAAGGATCTGCTTCTCCAACTCTCGGATTCGGGCCTTCAGAGCCTCCATAGTGGTAGCTGTTGATTCTTCCTCTGTCACCCTATGGCACAATTGGAAAAATAAATAAGAGTAGGTACTCGAGTATTATGCAAATTAGTTCCCGTGTCACTTTATGATCCTGCCTCTCTATTTCTGGACCTTCACATCCATACTCTCACTCCTCTTGTTGTCCTTTACTCTGTCCATTTTCTCTGTCTTCCTGCCCGTGAGCAGCCCTCTGACTAATGTGCATCACCATACCAGAAAATGTGCATTTAACACTGTTCAGCAGCATATGAAGCAGCCATAACCGAATCAATACCGACCGCAAACGTTGATGATAATTCGGCACAGCGCGTCGCGGGCACACGAGCCGGCTGATGTTTATTACAGCCGTCCGTTTGCTCGCCCGCCGAGATGCAGTGGCGGTGTTTGTGTGTTACGAGGAGTGTGTGTGTTTATGGTGATGTGGTCATTCTGCAGCCTGATAGCTTTGCTGATCTATGGTATTGATCTGATGGGGGGAAGGACAAGCAGAGAGAAGGAAGGGACAGTAAACGCAAGCAGTAAGTAGCTGTGTGTGTTTGTGATGTGGAGGGGGTGCAAGATGTGGCTACATTTCCAACAAACGCAGCAAAGACGAGAGGAAAGTGAAAGACTTTCTCATTTGTCTGTTTAAGTTTAAAACCAAATATCTTTAGCTAATTTAAGCTTTAATATATCAGAACTGAATAGTTGATATTTTAGTCAGAGGAAGTCCTGGAATGACCGGTTTTCTCCAGATGCATGAGCATAGAATAATGTAATGCTTCCCCTCCCTCACCTGTTTCTCTACACTGCTGATCAGCTGACTAAATAAAAAAATCTACTACTTCTTTTTCCTCACACTTACAGATAAAATAAACCTGGCTGCTCAGAAATGTTTCAGTCGTACTTTGGGAACTTTAGAAGAACCATTCTTAGCTCTAATTAGCTGATTTAAAAATAGTGCTGTCAGCCTACTAACCTGCTGGAAAGCTGTTTTATATAAAAGCAACTGGCTCCGGTTATTCACTTTTTTGACATACGCAAACGGCTGTATATTTTTTCAAGCTGACCACACCGTGAGAATCACCAGCCACCTAAAAGGTATTTCAACAAAATACGTTTAAAGTACATGAACATTTCATCAATGAGGTGCCACCAAAAACCGCAGTTAACTTGAGCTTACTGGGGTTATGACTAAAACGTGTAGCATCATTTGTTGCAGCCATGTTGTTTTTAGTTGACTATCAAATACAACAAGCCATCTAATAGAATAAGAAGCATTTCTTCATGAACATTATCCACTAGTACCTATCTGACTCTGCTATGAGGGTTTCCCACTAGTAACAGTTCTGTGGTACCGACCCCTTCTTCGCTGAGGTTCCTTAACGCGCCACGTTGGAATGAAAATGGGTCGTCAAAATACTGCACCTCTTCAGCGTATTCCGTCTCACTGTCCACAGCCTTTCCTGGCTTTATTCTAGCTTTCATATCCTCCATTGTTGTGTTGTGTTTGTGTCTCATGAAGATCACGTCATGCCACTTTTTAGACACCCGATTACACGAACACCCAACCCAGCTAGGTGCTAGTAGAAAAGGGCCTTAATGAGTTGCAAACCCCGTCATATTAATAGCTAAGACTCACTCCGCCAGACCAACTCATGCTGACGTTGCCAATAAACATCGATTTGGGAGACTGAATTCACTTGGTTTAAGTTTTTTGTATCGAGAGATCTTGTTACATGACTTGTCTTAAAACTCAAAGATACTGAGTTTACACCTTTTTGCCAATGTATGGAACTGACCAAGAATGGTTAACTACTCTGGGTTCTTCCTGATGAGTTTCCAGCAGGATGCGGAGGTCTTTGACGGTTGAACTGCTTCCAGTCAGCGGGATCAGCAGCAAGTCTTTTCCTAAACATGTGTTAAGAGCAGACCTGCGCCTCCCTGTAAAGCCATCGTGATCAACATCATCATCATCATCATCCCATGTCTATAAAGGCCCAGTCTGACGTGCCACCACCGTGCCCTATAAACTGACTTACCCTCTCCTCTTATTAGTGCTGAGCTTGTAAAAAGCCATTTAGCCTTGATTAGCCCGTCAGCTTATAAAAGAGCCGCAGACCCTGGACAAAGCTGGACTGTAACCGTCCTTTAACGGTTCTATTAAGTCCGTCTGTGGCTCCGTCACCCACCGAACTCTGTTGAAGGATATTTATGACGCTTATGAAAAAGATTTGGACAAAAAGTTGCTCATTTCCTCCTGACATTGATCACTTTTTCAGCACGCCGCTTTTTTAATCTTCCGTTATAAATATTTATTCAGCACACAAACGAAACAAATTGCTTTATGTTCCACCAGTGTAATAACATTAATCTTTTGGCCAGAATGTGAGCGTCTAAACGAAAGCAGACAAAGACATAAAATCAGAGGACTTTGCAAATAGAAGAAGTTTGGAAGAAAATAATACGACTTAATCAGGCCAAGCAAGAAGAAAAAGAAAAAAAAACTGAAGGCTTAGGGGTAACCTCTCGCATGTGAAAATCCTTAAATCCTTTGTGTATTTCACTGACCTAAACTAGTTCAAGACTGTTGAGACTTTTAGCCAAGGTAGAAAAACTCATATCCCTGTTGGACACGGGTTGAGCAATCACAATCTGGATTAACCTGAAACGTAACAGAAGCCCTTCAACAGAGACGAATCAGAAGTGGTATGAATGGCTCTTCCTTTCATAGGACTGCAGGGTCTGTTGGAAAAGGTGTCCATGTGGAGACCAGTAATATTTAAGCTTCTTTATCCTGATAAGGCTTTAAATGGAAAGGCCTGCCTTTATGTATCATGACTTTTAGATCTTCAAGCGCATTCATGTGCTGTTGAGGGTATAAAACGATAGATTGTTTTTGTCACTTGGGACAAAACCTCATTTTTTAAAAATTGATGAGTAGAAAATCTTGTAATTCTGATCTCAGTTTAAACAGCATACAGAGCATAAATTACCAGGATGCATAAAAAAGTTATTTTATATGAATATACACATAACCAGCTTTTTTTTCAGCTTTGTTTGCAGCAGATCAAACTGTTTCAAACTTTTGAATTATTGTTCTGGCTGTGGATACGAGTAAGTTAGTTTAGGAAAGTAGCTACTTTCTTGTACCAATTTCATGACGTTCCTTGGACGTTGAGACTCTTAAGAAATTTCTCAGTATGTCTGTTCGTTGGAAAAAGTTGAAAAAAGATTTGAACATCTGTGAACATCAATTTGTAAAAGTTATACTGCAGATTCTCGATTGCAGTTAAACTTTAGGCTTTTACACCACATTGAGCTGAACCACAACTTTACATGGCTTCAGAAAAAATGTTTACGTGGTGTTGATCTGGTTAGACAAAAACGTCCATAAAATTTGTGCAACATCGAAAGGGTATAAACAGATTTACATTTTAGCCTCAGTCTCAACGATGCTGGTGCAGGTTTGCAATGTTTGTGCTAAAGAGTTTCCGTGACTACAAAACCCTAAAACATTGTCCTGCTTTGAACTGATGCATTACTTCGATCTGAACACCAGATTGCTTAAACTTCGGTTCAACTTTATTGCCGTTCCAAAGCTAATGCGGCTCAGTGTTTTTCATCTGAAGTCCTCCTGGTGGCAAAAAAAGCAAGAAGGAAAGCCCAGCAGAGACAGATAGATGGCTCTGCTTCTCCTCTATTTAGCGCTCGGTTCCCAGCATCTGCGACGTTATTTCTCATTTCATTAGTGCGTGAGGGTGTGTGTGTGTGTGTGCTTGTGTGTGCAGCGGGGGATCTCTACCATCCATCTCAATCAGCTCAATGTCTTCATCTGCTGTCTATCTACATTTTGGCCTCACTCTCGCTTCTGTCTGAGCAGGAGAACATACAGCGGATAAAATTTAACACAAATTAATTTGAAATCCTCATTTTCGCCTTAAATAAATCTCCCAAGCATGTGCTGCTGCTGCTGTAAATCCCTTTCGAGCATCATTCTGTGCTGCACCCTGTTAGCAGAGGCCTTAACTACATCGAGACACCATGATAAAACATTTAAGTCACTATTGATTTCCCCTGCCTCTTCCCGATGTGTGAGCAAGCGCAGCAAAAGTTAAGAGGTAGGGATTTGGGGGGGGAACCTTGTAAATAGCTGAGAGGAATTGAGACAGAGGACAGGAAGGGAGGAACGAGAAAACAGGACAGAGACAGAATGGGACAGTGAAATAAAGCAAGGAAAAATGTGGAGACGACTGGGGCAGAGTCCGTGTGTGTCCCTGTGCGTGTGTGTGTAAGGGGGGTGGTGGGGCGCGGGGTAGAAATCTAGCTTCATCACTTCCAAATTGAGGACAGATTCAATTATTTGCAGAAACCACATGGAAATCACTCCGCATTGTTCCAGCTGGAGCACCAAATTTGGCAGCAATCGCATTGGCGGCAATGGAGGGGCCATTTATCTTGGAGAGGAAAGAACATCTCAGGCTATGTGCGTGTGTGTGTGTATATCAGTGAAAGAGAGAGAGAGAGAGAGGGAGAACTCATTTATCTTGCAGGGGAATGAGCAGGGGAACGAGGACGCCCCGGGAGGCGACCAGATCATTACCCATCTGGGATCAGAGACAGAGAGAGATTTCACCAACGCTACCTTGTGGAAAGCCACACACACACACAATGTATCAATGTAACAAAAGGAGACAAATCTCATTTTCATTTGAGGATGGAAGGACACAGAAGCCCCACAAATACATGCATTTATAGCAAGCGAGAGGAGGAGCGAGGCGGGGAATTGTTCCAGCCAGGCACCTGACTGCTTGTTCCAATGCAATCATTCAGTATCTAGTCGGCCTCACCCTAAATGGACGCTTAGATTAAAGCGTGTTCTGCTCTGGGTGACCGCTAAAAGTCTCCAGGAGAACATCGTGCGGCAACGCACGGCAATATTTGCTCCACAGAAATGACAGAAAACAAAGACCAGGAAAATGGTGGGAACGGAAAAGTACTGATCCAAAGTCCAGTACTGCTCCTTTCAAACTTAAAAGAGAAGTCATACATTTTTTTTAATGTTTAAAGTTTCACATAGTTTCTTAGCCACCTTGAGTGGCTAAGAAACTATGTGTTCCGCAAATGTGCGGAAAGTGAACCGCATATTTGGTGCGGTTCACTTTCACAGCGCACCAACTAAACCAACTAAATCCTTTGAAAAACCTGTTCATCACCCACTAACCTGTCGTTTCCTTCAGAACCACTGAAGGAAACGGCATAAAAACCTCCAAAACATGAGCACGACTTCCTTCTTAATAAAATGTAAACAGAAATGGAGTAGCATCAGATTTTGTAGAATTTCTCTTTGGTAAAAGACGACAAGCCGTTTCTCCTGCACAGTGCTAGACAGCAGCCATTTGTTTAGGATGTATTATTATTATCATTAAAAACTGGAGAGCAGACACTTATTTCTGATCTTAACAATAGTAATAATATAAAGAGCTATATGTCCTATTTTCAACAAAGCTTTCCTTTCCTGACAGAAATAGTTCCCCTTCCTAACCTAAAAGAATAACTTTCTTGTATGAAACACAGGACAAAGATTCATCAGGCGCATTTCTTCATGTTTCACTTCTGATTAAAAATAAATAGACTCTTATCAGCCACCACAAACTGTGTGAGTTCTTACCACACGTAGAGATGTGCTCAGACGGAAACATCTTATTTATGGTTGGTGTACGACCAGCCATCAGCTCACTGTGCTAACTGGATGTGCTAATAAGTCAATCTGATGTTTCTCAACAAGCATCTATGCAGACAAACTGAAACTACATTACTTGACGTTCCAGACATCTGTGTGGCTTAACTCGTCTCACTGGTCAGTACACAAACCTGCATAGCAGAGCACTCCACACTACGCCAACAGCATTTCTTATCGGCATACCATGAAATCAGATGATGATGAGACCAGAGGTCTACCAACCGTGGCTCTTCGGAGCCTCCATGGTGGCATTTTAGTCAAAAATTATGTAGCACAAAATAGGTTTTTTTTATTTTATGTCAACTTTAATATCAACAGACTTGAAGCAGTTTTTCTTGTGTGGTTTGGTTTAACATTTGCAAAGAATCTCTAATGAGACATAACTCATTTACTTGGACTATTTTCACTAAACGTTTCTGTTCCTTTTCCAGAAACGTAAAACTTTTCCATTCAAGAAAATGCCTGTGTTTGCTTCGTTTTCCTCAATTCAACTGGTTGCAATTTTCAGCGTTATACTAATACAACACAAACAAAATGATTTCATTTGGATTTTGGGAGTTAAACAAAATAACATGAATTAAACATATTTCATTCAAGTTTTTAACAGAGCAGGCACTTTGTACAAGTCTTGTGTATCTGTTTATTGCAAAAGTTAGATTTTAAGGTTTTTTTTTAAGGGTGTTGGTGAACTGGTTCAACTATTTGTACTGAATATCAAAACAGCTGCAGGTTCTGTGTAAGAACTGGGCATTAGATGGATCTACACCTAACAAACACTCACTCTTCTCTTGACAGTGGAGTTTCTAATCAATACACCTCGAGCGGCTCGGTTTGTCCACCAATTATCCAATCTGCTGATATTTATAATGGAGAATGTGCACAGCCACAGTGCTGATTAATTCATTTAAATAATCTATCCTATTGAACTGTTGCCATGGTCGAAGGGGTACATGTTAGTCAAAGCTGTGGAGAGCATAACTTAAGTGCTAGTAGCTGGGTGAATATAATGTCTTGAAAAGGCAGTTTTACACCTAGAACTTTTTTTTTTTTTTTTTTTTTACATTTTTACGATACAACCACAAATATTTTACTTGGGTTTCTGGTGACAGAGTACGTCTCTACAAGCTTTCCACATCTAGCAGCTGATGTCTATGGCTGCTCTTCTTCATGTAATGTCACAATTTAAATCAGAGGTGAAGAGGAGCGCTCTTCCAAGTGGTGCCATGGCTCTCTATCGACCAGAGCGCCTTAACTTTACACGTTTACAGTGTCCTGACTCGCTTGAGACAAATTGCCAAGATGACTTCTCATGGTATTCTGCAAATGTTGTAACATGACAAAATGTGGAAAGGTCAAGGGAAATGCGTTCTTTGCAACTAAGCAGGAAGATTGATGAAAGGAAACTATCTGGATGCTGAGAAAACATGAGGCTTAAATGTAGAAAGACTATTAAGCAATTCACAGAATCCTGGCTTTAAATTTTGATTGTTGCCATCTACATTATCACCCGTTTCCGTGTTTCACCTACTTTTCGATCTCGCTGTTTTTACAGGTACGTGGAGCATTTGAGGAGGAAGAGGATGATGATGAAGGAGTGCTGGGGTCTGTCTTGCTGCTCTCCCCGTTGCTCGTTGAAGGCATCTCTGTGGTCACATAAAAGGTAACAGTTACTTATGAACTCCTGTCTATCACAGTTGCCAGCCACAGATCCCCATTTCAGTCTGCCTGGAACAATAATAATGTTTTTTTTGTTGTTGCTATTTTTTATTTTTATTTTTTTAAATAAATAAAAAAAGATGTAAAAAAGCACAATTAGTGCTTTACTTACCATCGTTTGCCCACTTGGAGAACTCGGGCGTTATTCTGTTGGAAGGCATCCCGCCGCTGAAACAAAGTAGCACAACCATCAGTATGGATAACAGCCCATAGGTTCTTCCCATCCTGCAAAGTATAGTATTTCATCCACTAGCTATGCTTCCAAATAATTGTCATGCTAATTTTAAGCAAACTTTTGAAATATTATTAAAAAAACAAAAAAACAAAGAAGCTGAGGAAAATGCGAACGAGGTGTGTTTGTCTACTGGCTTGGAGCAAATCAACAAAGAATCAACCAGAGCATAATTTTCTCAGATGTTACGCTACAGTGTAATGAACAAGACGTAAAGGCTGCAAAGTAGGATTAATCACACATTTAAAAAAAAATAAAGAAAGTTCACTCCTTTAATTCAGATTTTACCACCTCCATTAACTGTTTCTACTGGAATACTAAGAAATGCCCATAAAACAAAACAAAAAACAAACAAAAAAAACACGTTGAAAACACGGCTAGCGTTTTGCTGAAGACGTCGTACTTGAGCACAGCTCCTCGTAGCGCCTCCCTCTCCCGGGCTTCTCCTTGGTCCTCCCCGGCTCCGGAGCAGGGGATGATGTCGGCCTCGGTGTACTGTGCCTTCCCGTACTCCAACGTGTCGTCTCCGTCCACGTCGAGGTCGGCGTCGCTGTCCGCCGCGCTCTCCTTGATACTGCATGTGGCGAATCCAGTTCCTGTGGAGAGAGTGAGCCATTTTCACACCATTGCTTTAAGGATGCATTCACATCAGCTCCGTTTAGTCCGCTTTGATCGAACTCCAGTTTGTTTGCTGACAAAGTCCAACTCTGATGCGGACCAAAAAAAGCGGTCTACCTAAAAAAAAAAAAAACCTGGGTTCTGTCGACGTGAACTCTGGAGCGGTTCAAAAGCATATGATGCAAGCAGACTGGCTACCACTCTGAAAGCAGGAAGTGAAATATAGCACAGGGAATTCTGGGTAAATGCAACCAAAACAAACGCGAGTCTTAAATGAGCGTGAGAAATGGTTTGTAGTCTTTTACCAAAGACAAAAAAAAAAATCCTACAGTCACTGAAATCTGATGCCACTCTATTTTTGTTGACATTTCATGAAGAAGGAAGTTACGCTCACGTCTTCTACCGTTTTTATGTAATTTCCTTCAGTAGTTCTTGGTGCAGCACCAGAGGCCAGGTGAGGGCAGGTTTTAAAATAGTTTAGATCGCTTGACACTGCAGTGGGCAACCACCAGCTGAAAATTTAGCAAATATTGCAATTTAGGTCTCCAGAGAAACCGAGTCTACTGGACAACTGAGTGTGAAAACACCCTCAAAATTGACATATTGGTTAAAGGTGCCTTTGACTACTGGTACGCGTGAGAGTGGACCATTGTTCTTAATTGTCCCATGACTTGATATACCTTCAATTTCCAATTAGAAGTAGAACATATATTTTTACACACACAGTATAAATATGGAAAATCAAAATCTCAATGGTTTACAGTCTTGATACAATGTCTGCCCTTCTATTTATTTATTTTTTAATCAATAAGGATTATTTTAAACCCCAAACATAAACAACGTATTGCTTGATGAAGCTGGAAACGACCTAACTTTCTGAGACGGCTAAAGCTCATGTTAAACTCAACTTCTCTGCAAATCAACTTAAGTACTTTCAGAAACCCGGGTGACAAATGAGGAAAAAGAAGGAGATGAAGACTGACTCGTTACCCATCAATCTTTGAGAAAGAGAGGGGTGTGTACGTGTGTGTGCGCGCGTGTGTGAATGGCACCTTTATAAACCAAGTGATGAACGCTCAGACAAACCCTTACCGCTGCCTGACTGCTCCCTTCAGCTCTACTTAACCAAGGAGTTGGCTCTGTGTGTGTGTGTCCGTCACTTACAGGTGTCTTTTCCATGTTTGTTTGAGACTGTCTGTCCCTCTGTCACTTAGGTCCTATCTCTCCAATCCTTTCAAGGTGTGTGTGTGTGTGTGTGTGTGTGTGTTCACCTGTCACTTAAACTATGTCTATCTTGCAGCACAAAAGTAGTTGGGGGTGTGTTTGTGTTCAAATGTGTATATTACTCAGAACCTTTACCGTTTGGGCTGCATGCGTGTGTGTTGTGCCTGAAACCGTTGGTGTGTGTCAGCCAGTGACAGGCCTGACAGCCATCTTATTTACACCTATTCCAATTTCTACAAGCCCTCCGGTGGACTAGTGGGCTGCCTATGAGTGTCTGTGGGGGGAGTCGAGGGTAGAACCAGACGGAGCTGACACCCGTCCTGTTTAACCCGCCTGTGTGAGTCCCAACACTCAGACTTCCTGGAACAGTTGCTATCGGTGAAACAACTGCATCTCACTCCACTGCGGGGTCTTTGTCAGAGAACAACACAGTCGACTGAGCTCGCCCGAAAGCTTCCTCTACAATACGGCTGACAGATTGCCCTCACATTTAACTCGGGAATTTGTAGAGGTAGGTAGATGATGCCAACATAAACATAGTTTTTAATTTACTTTTGGTCTGAGGCGTCATACTTGTAAACCTACAAGTTTCTTTAGCTAGGGAAACATGGGGTACGTTAAACAGCAATCTCAGTTGGCTTGATGTGCCCCTGACCTGAAGCTCGAGTGAACGCCAAATTGAGATGAAAAGAGCTGAAAGAGGCCGTCAGGAAGAATTTGGCTCTACGGGAAATCCTTTTTTTTGAGTGGATGACAAAACAACAGTTTTTTGACACCAGAACTGAAGACATGATTAGCGTAGGCCTCATACAGTATGCCAGGAGAAGTTGCTCATATCGAGATCAAAGTGTCATGGTTTGGAAATGTTTTACTTAAGCAGAACCTAGCCGCCCTCACCATCATATTTATTGAGTTAGCATTTTTAAGTGCAGTTACATTTCTTTTTGCTTTTTCAGAGATCCATAAGACAAACCTCCACTTGGCTTCCTCCATCTTCACAGTGAGTATTGTAATTTGTTGCGTATCTTTCAGGTTTGATGTCCTAATTTTGAAATTTATCTAAATTAACTTGACCAATAATGGTTGAGGGCTCTAGAATATAACCAATTTTGGTCACTGATGAGATCATGTCACAAAATGTTGACGTTGCACCAGTCATTCAAGGGAAAAAAGAAGACAAGCGCAGAACAAGGCCATCTTCCTGTAGTAAAAAACAAGCCTATATGTATCCTATGGTGGTCTAAACCAATCAGAAAGAGTGATTCTGCTTCAAATAAAGAAATTTTATTGCCTAGACTGAATCATTTACATGTTAATGTTGCAAAGTTAAGTGTGATGCACCTTAAAAAAAAAAAAAGTAAGGTGCACCAGTGGCTGTGGTTTCTTACAATAAAGCAAAAGGAAAAGTGAATTCTGCCTTCAACGCTTCAGGACACACAGCATCTATATAAACCACACAAAAAGAAATATCTGGGTCCCCCCCGCCCCCGACATTTGTAACTGTCTTGTTAAATATGATTCAGCTCCGTAATTTAAGTCGCTGCATTTCTACTGTAAACCGGATGCCTCCTGAGCCGACTGGGAGTGAATACACACACCGTAAATGTGCGGCAGTGTGTTCACCGCCAGGGTTGGTGCGGCCTGTTTGCTCTGAATGTGTGTGATCCCCCTGTTCTTCTATCTGTTCCTCTAAGCAGTCTTGGCAGGCCAATCTAATCTGGCCAGGGAAAGGTCAGCCACACTCTAACTGCCTTTCACTCACATTATGTATCAACACCCCCACCCGTCTTTACTTTCCTTTTCTTCTTCTTCTCGCCTCGTTTTCTACCTTTTCTTCCCTCCCGCACAATTAGCTTATTTTTTTTTTAAACTTCTCCAACATATACATTTGTTTTATTTTTTTTAGCAGTTCTCTATGGTGTTCAGCCCATCTTAAACAGCTTGCTAGCCAAATCATCTGAATCAATCCTTCCTCCACTCCTCAATCCGTCTCATTATCGAAGGCCCCTCCCTGCAATATCACTGACTCTTTAACATGTTAACTACATATTTCCTCCTCTGTGTTGTACGGTTCGTGGCAGCGATGAAAGAGAGCCTCAATTTACATGCATGTCAACACAACAAGGCAACAAGCGCAGATCTGAACAGGCGGGCACCATCAAAGGCCTCATCAGGCCGACCGGCAGCCCGCCTCAGCCAATCCAATGACCTCGGCAACATCTTGTTTCCATAGCAATTATCGGGACCCCCTAAGAAGCCGAGAGGAGGCATGTCAAAGGTGATCACACTATCTCCCTGCCATTTACAGGTCACACAGAAAGAGAGAGAGAGCGAGAGAGAGAGAGAGGGGTGGGGAGAGAGGAAGCCAGACACAAAGACATGAGACGGTCATCTTTGAAGTTCATGTACAAAGCGGAGATTTGTCCTCTCCTCAATCCTTCTGGGCCATCTGAACCGGCAGTAATCCCCCTCCTCTCCTCCAGGGTGTCTCGGGACGGCCTGGTATCGCCCCTCCAGATCTGTCTGCTGCTGCTGCTTCCCTTTCAGAAAGTTTTTTTTTTTTTTTGGTTCACATTTTTGGCCATTTTCAACCCGAGAATATTTGTTAAAAAGGTGAAGAAATAAAACAGGTTCTATGTCAAACTAATTACCTTATTTATTCTTCATCATTGTGTATTAATTTGCAGAATCATTTAGAACTAGTGCAAGTCGTCAGCTGAGGTAAGGCCTCCAGTCTTTGGTCATAAATTATCTCTAAAAGCCACCGTGGTTTCGAAGCCTCTCTTACATAAATCATCTTGCTATGATTCAAAAATATCACGCTGATTTAAAGAGTACAGGAGGCGGACACATTTCAGTGCCGACCGTCAGGATCTTCATCGACCAAACTGCTGTCAAAGTGGTTAAAGAGACCCAACATTTAAATATTAAAAGTTATTAGTTGACATGAACAAAGGGTGTTACATGTAACTGCAAACTTCTGTTCAGTTTTGCTTTGGCTCACATCTGTGTTTCAGTACATTCTGTACCAGAATGTACTGAACTGTGACCCAAAAAAACAAGTTTTTATTCCAAACCATGACTTGAAATTGTAAAAATAAAAAATACATTATTTAAATAATTTGTCCTTTTTTTTGCATTGTTCTTTTATTCTATGAATTTCTCTGAAATTCTAAGTAAAAATGTAACATTTATTTGCAGAAAATGAGAAATGGTCAAAATAACAAAAAAAGACATGCAGTGCTTTCAGACCTGAAATAATGCACAGAAAACTAATTCATATTCATTTATAAACAAAAATACTAATGTTTTAACTCAGTAAGAGTTCAGAAATCAATATTTGCTGGAATAACCATGAGGTTTTCAATGGGGTTCAGTGAAGCGGTCTTTGTTTTGTCCAGAGCCGTATATATGTTAATAGGCTGGAAATTACGGAACAAATCTTTATTTACACAAAAATGATCATTTTTAAAGGTGGAGTTAGATTGATCTGAATTGATAAGAAAAAAACAGGCTCCATCATTCCAATCATAACATAATTTGCACTTTGCATCAACGCAAAAACTTTGTAAAGTGACCAGAGGTATGAGGGAAAGTTGGAGAGTAAAAAATCTGTCCACTTTGCAGCTTGCAGAGACAGACCACCAGACAGATAAAGACAGATCTCCATCTGAGCTGTACGGGTTCTTTCAACCCGCCTAAGCCGGTGTGAGACACAGGGAAGTCTTCACTCACAGACACTTGAATCATAAACTGATCTTGTTCGATTTTTACCCCCCTCCCCTACCCCCCTCTCACATCTTTCTTCCCCAGCTTCTCAAAGGGAGGGAAGGAAGGTGGCACTTCACAGAGGAATAGTCTCTCTCTTCATCTTGCCAGCTGAGAAGACCCCCCCTCCACCCCAACCGTAACGTCTCTATATCCGTTTAGCCGGTCGCGAGCTCCAGAGAGCCCACTGGATGCAGCTGTGTGCGTCAGAACCACTGAGCAGCTTTCAAGACAAAATCCACCTTCTGAGCCTTCTGCCAAGATGGAAGAGTGTGCGTGTGTGCGTGTGTGTGTGTCTCCGTGTTTCAAGTCGCTCTCCCCAGGCCACCTCGGTTATCTGCGTCGCATCACAAGGTTCCCTATTAGAGCGCGACAGAAGGGTCCGGGGCTGCGAGTTTTAAACAACGTGAAAGGCAGACAGACGGATGGAGGGAGGGAGCGCCCGGGAGACGGATGAAGAGGGGCTCCATCCACCCCCCTCCCCCCTAAGTGCCTCACTTTGTGGTGTTTTAGTTGAGACTTTAGCATTGATCTGTCTTGTCTCCACTTGGCAAGCAGAGGAGAGGAAGGGAGGCAGGTGAGGCCCCAGCATGTGTGTTTAACAACAGATCGAAGACAGAGAGGGACACATGAAAGCGGAGATGAGGAGCCTGCAGCTCCGTCTGCCTCGCATCACCGCGGTTGGCTTCAAACCGACCATCTATCCCCCCCCCCCAACTTAAAGAGATACAATGAAGATAAAATGTGGGATCATGTTTTGTTTAAATCAGGCTGAAGGCAGTTCATGGATCCAGTTAACAGAGCAAAGATTTGTCTCGTGACATTTTTGGACTCGTTAAAAACAGACCTCGTCGGGTAAATTGTTATTTTAGCTGTGATTTTTGGGCACATAAAACAAGCTTGAATTTATGGAAGTCGTTCCAGTTATAAAAAACAGACTATCAGATGGCAGAAAGTAAAACGATGGACGGCCATTGCTCAAGGCATTTGAAAACTACAGCTTGCTTATCAGACATCTGACGTTATCTGGTTACCAGATACCAGAAACCCCAACTTGTTATAAACTAACTAGTTCAATTTGTGCCACTCTATAAAAGAGCAGAAAAGCAAAGATAATTAATAAATTCTGTTCTGAAAGCATTAAGAATTATTCTTGATTTGCTGACAGCTTCATGGATATTTGGTATCCAAAATACTATTTTACGAATGTTCGCTTGACAAGTCTATCATACTAATCTTAGATCAGACATGTATCCTCCGTTCAGGTTCTTAGAGGTTCTCCCATCTTGTCGCACTTCTCTTAGGCGAGTGGTTTTGGGATCTGAATCTGTGGATTTGATTTAATGTGGCATTTTAAACAAATTCTGAAAAAAAAAATAAAAAAGGTATAAAGAAGCTCAACTGTAATTGGTTGTCATATAAAAACAGACAACCCTTTCTGGGATTAAGCAAAACTAATCTAAAAAGATAAAGTATTTATGAAACTTACAGAAGCTAACATATTGAGCTAAGTGCTTGCACACAAGGTGTGTTTTGTCCCTGAGCTGCTGCTGCGCTCCCCAATGACCGGCTCTCCTATCCGGCTCTATAATTGCATTTCTGGGCACACACACGAAGCGGTGACCGGCGGGTCAATTGCCCAGCTAAATGTGTTTTCCTTCCCTTCGCACAGAGGGTTGCGTGGGGTTCAGCCGAGCCGAGCCGGGCTGACCCCGGAACCGCCCGCGCTGCCGCTAGACCACAGGTACCATTACCGCTCGCCAGTCACATTGGACGCCGGTCTCGGAGAGCTAACGCCGCTCACGTTGGACAGCGGCGCGCTGAATGATGGATGAGCAGGGAAACAAAAGAGGAGACAGACGGACGAGAGAGAAGAGGAGAGAACAAACTGCTGGAACCGAGTGTGACGCCCGAGCTCAAGAGAGGTCAGTCAGTCAGCCGACCAGACACCAACACCGTCAGAAAGCCCACACACACACACACACACCTCTTCACAGCAGTAACACGCTGTCTGGAGTTGGTGGGAAAAGCCACCTACACAACATCAGATGTGTCTGTACCTCTGAAGCCTCCCTCCAGTAAGGCCGTAGCTCTGATCCTTTTCTGCCCCGCCCATTCGTACTCGTCGAAGCCCCGCCCGTTCTCGCCGTCCATGTCTGCGGAGTCTTCGTCGGCCAGAGCCCCCTCGCGCTGGCCCGCAAAAAAACAAACAAACAAAGACGAATTTTAAAAAGAGGACAGAATGATTCAAAGAAAACTGGCTAAACGTGAATTTGTTTTCTCTCCGCACTCTTTCAAGGTTAAGGATTCGATTTGGTGACAGGCCAGACATCCATACAAACTCTACCTGTACTTCAAAACTGAAACCAAAGTTTAATGCTGCCTTGTTTTTATTTTTAAAATACTAATAAGTCATACTTGAAATTCACCAGGCTTTTACTGTTGTATTTTGTAGACATGAAGTTGCTGCAAACATTCAACAAAGACGTTTAACCTGCATGCATTTAATCTACACAAATTTAGTTCATTCAATTCAAATAAAACGGGAAACATTTCTTTAAAATGTTTTGAGATGGAACGCTTTGCAAAAGTATTCACTCTGTGACAGGTTGCTACCACAAAATTCTGTGTGTTGTATTAAATGACAGACCAACAAAAGTAGTAAAAAAAAAAATGTGAAATGGAATAAAAATGATTAAGGTCTGGTATTTTTTTTTTTCAAAATAAAATGTAAAAGTATCAAAATAAAAACCAAAAAAGACCGAAAAACATGCCAGTTCGTTCCCGAAAGAACATATTCAGAACTGTAACTAATCAATAACTACAAAAAAACAAACAAAAAAAAAAACAACTTTTGTCTTTAAACTTTAAATATGTTCTACCCAGAACTCCTCAATTTGCATTGTTGCAACTTTGCGTGGTACAAGTTTATCAGAAAAATCTCCCATTAAGCGCATTTTGCTGTGAAAATATTAATCAGTTAATCCAAAAAATAGTCAACAGATCAGCCTTACGCTGTACTGATGTTAACTTGAGCAAAAAGAGGGAGCTTTTCATAAAAAAGAAGTGTTTTTTTGCTGCAGACGCATCTTTTGTTACAAATGATCAACCGTACACTAAATACATTTTTGTTAAAAACTGTTGTTTTTGTTTTATTTGCATCTTTTAACGTATTGTACAAAAATGTGTATGGGGTTAAATTAAAAATCTGCAGAATGTGCCAATCCTTTTTTAAAAAATTCTTATTAATCATCTCAATAATCATAAAGATGAATCGATTACTAACATAATTGTGAATTGCAGCCCTGGTTGACATAACTATTAGACCTGAACACCACTATTCTTTTCCAAAAACAATCAATTGTTAGAAAGGTCCAGTCAAAGTCCTGATGGAAATCAGAAGGCAAATGTGAAGCGAAACTCAAAACCACAGCTCTTAAAGTTTCTCCATCCGATCTGAGCGAGCAGGGGAGACTTTGCAAAGATGCATGGACATCTTCACACTCTCTTAATGTCAAATGTGACAAAAAAACAAACAAAAAAAACAAAAAAAAACAAGCAAACAAAAAAAAAACTTTAATTGGATTGAATACTTTTGCAAGGATGTGTACGTCAAAATCATTTCACTGTTGCAACAAATGAAAAAAAAATTCATGCTGGGAGATATTAGTATCTCTGGGAAGTTTGACGGCTGGCGATCGGTGACATGAGATAGAGAAGAAGTTCATTAGTAGCAATGATTTATCGCAACATCTACTCTAGAAGAGGTGACGGCTGTTAAGTACTAAAGACGGAGCGTGACGTTTAGCTGGGACAGGAAGTGAGGGCTACATCTAAAACCGCGTCACATGGGACAACCTGCAGATGAGAGCCGACTCGTTTAAAACACCGGTTCGCAGAAACAGAACTGCACGAGTCCGGTGTGAATATTCTCCCCCTTTGCGCTCAAGTCATTCGCAGCTGATCCGATATGATTGTTTCTACAGCACAGCATGGATGGGACTGCTCAGAATCTACAGGAAGTAGAGAGGTGAGTGGGAAAAGAAGGGGAAGACGTAGGCCGTCCAGGTGGGGGCGGTAGGCAGGGCAGGGGGGTCTAGGGGCCGGGATTGTACTACCTGGATCAGGCATTGTTCCACATGTCTACTCATCTCCTCCTCGCTCCCAGCCAATGGGGCGCTGCACAGCGGACATACCTGCCCCCCCTCCTCAGGCTTCCTCCTCTTCATCTTGCCTATACGAGCTGGAGCAGAGGGACAAGGAAAGAGAGGGGATAAAAAAAAACAACAACAAATAAATATACTTATCTTGGAATCTCTGCACTGAGTTCTTCACAAACCTATGCCATTTAGGGCTGCAACTAACAATTATATTAGTCATCGGATAATCTACTGATCATTCTGACGATTATTCTGGCTATTGCTTAATTATTTGAACAATTAATCGATTATTCTGATTAGTTGTTTATTCTAGCGGTTAACTGATTATGTTGACAACTAATCGGTTAGTTGATTATTCTGATGAATAATTGATTAATCAGATATGAAAATTTGGCAAATTCTGCAGATTTTTCATATTTCATATTAGAAATACATCAAAAGATACAAATAAATTATTCAGTACCTTTATTAAATAAGAAAATAATCATTTTACTACCTAAATACAGTGTAGGGTTAATCAATAATTTTTTTGATTAATTGGATATCAAAAGGTGCTGCTTAGGAGACTTTTTTTTTATTTACAGTAAGTGAAGCTAAAACTATGACATTTCAGGAGTTTGGCAAGAGCATGTTTACAGAAAGTTTATTATTTAATCTTGAATTAAAAATTTATATATTTTCTGTACAGTGTTTTGAGTCTGTGTACTCCAGTTAGCAATTAATCGATCACTAAATTAGATGATAATTATCTCAATAACTGATTAATGACAATTAATTGTTTCAGCTCTGATGCTGCCGATTAAAGATGGCTGATCTGACCAAACTTGCCACCTTTCTGGAGCACCTTCAGAAACAAACAGCTGGATGCGGCGCCCTCAATTCCTTTCCACTCTTCTCTACATCAGTGCCTTTGCTCTACTCCTTTTTTGTTTCTCTGTCATGGCAACACCCCCCCACCCCCCACCATCCAAGCCCCAGCCTCCATCCCCATCCACCCACACATTTAATTAGAAATTTAACAGGGCCGAACAGCCGTGATTGAACCCCGAGTCTCTGTCGTTTTTTCTTAACTGCAAATGGCGCGCGGGGACATTAATTTTTAGCTGGCTGGGAAAAGCAAAAGAGGCCAAGAGGGATCTCGGCAACTGACAGAGGGAGGAGGAGGAGAAGAAGAAGAGGAGGACATAAGGCAGCATGCCATAACTGCGGGGCAAGAGCGCGGAGGGAGCGAAAGAAGAAGGGGCTTCCATGCCATTTCTCTTCCTGACGCTAATCGAGAGAAGCACTGTTTAAAGAGGAGAGGAAACGACTGCTAATTACGTGCAGCTCAAACCTTTAAGTCCCCACATGGAGAGAACTTCTCAAAATGCCAGATTTAAAAAGCGCCTTGTAAAACAACAGTGATTAACAAACACAAAGTAGGACTTAATGTGAAGTTCAATATTTACAAAAAGAAAAAGGAATACATGGTTTTCAGTCGTTTTCTTACACAAAAATCTGGAAAGTGTGATGAACATTTATATTCACCGTCACTGTTTTGTCTGTTTACAGCATTTTCTACCAGCTTTTAGCATGTTGCCCTTTCATGGCTTCAAAAAAGCTCCAGCTCAAATCAGCCTGGATGGAGACCATCTGTGAACATCACATGTCAACGTTTTTGCACCACTGATTTCCATCCGGGTTGAGGTATGGACATTGAGTAGGCCATTCAGAACAACACAAGCAGATGTCATTTAAAGCATCACATTGTAGCTCAGGCTGAATGCACTTATTTGCGGTATCCCCCTGAGCGCTCGTGACAAGTTGTTGATGCTATTATTTATTGCTTTTTTTCAACAAAGGCCAGATTGTGTGGAATGTTCAAAGCTTTAGGTGTTATTTTATGACCCATCACTACTTTAAATGTTTCTATCTTCCACTTTCTGCTGTCTTCCTGGGTCTTAATGTTCGTTCATTAAAGTTCTCTAAAAGGTTTTCAAAACCAGATGTATTTTATAAAGATTAAATCACACAAAGCCAGACTTTGTGAAGAAATTAGAAGAAAATAAGTTGCACTGGATATTATTTAGTTACATCAGAGTAAAGGATTATGCAGGCCACACTTTTCAGATTTTTGTGTATTTAAAAAATCTATTTATTTCTGTTTAATAATTATATGCTTGTACACTGGTTTATCTCATACAATTCCACTTTAAGGCACTTTGCAAAAAGTATTTACTTTCTTGAAGGCTGAAGTTAGGTTGTGGTTTCCATGGAAACCCCTACAGTGAAAGTGCACGTCTTTTCCCCCCAAATAGATACTTGTTGAATATAAATAGAGCAAAAATGAATATCATGATGTATTTTCTTTTTCTATCAAGTGCATCATTCATATATAGGTCTGCTAAACAGGTAATTTATTCTCATTTCTATTCAACATGTAATATTTAGCTTACGTATTAACTCTTGCCGCTTTACAAGTAAATTCAAAGTTTAGAGTAACACATGTTGTTAAATATATGCTACTGGCACATTAAATGGCAAAATTAGCTGAACCGATATGTGTACATACCATTCAATCTCGTTTGCCTGTTTGCCCGAACTCGTAAAAATGTCTGCAAGCAAAAGAAGAAAGGAGAGAGAGGAAATACTCATTAGACGTTAATTAGACAGTGGGCAGTGTTCACAAGAGCAAATCTCGCTGTGCTGAATGGGATTACTTTGGATACTTTCTGGTGGGGGGTGCGCTTATCAACACAGACAGTAGACAGTTCCACCTACTTCTCTCTTGTTTTCCACCTCCTCCATGACTCTCTGCTCCCTGTCGACAGCGGGCCTAAAACTCGCTGCTGCACATAGTTCAGGGCTGCCGCCAGATATTCTACATCCCAACAAACTAAACGCTGTGACTATAAATTCACACGGATGGAAAAGGATTGAAAGTGGCGCCCGAATCGGCATAAAGCTCTCATTTCGGACGCCATGTTGGCTTGTTGTGATCACGTGACCGTTGAGGAAACGGAAGTGTGTAAGACGTTGGTTGTTATTTCGCCTATTGGGCACTAGGGGGAAGCAGCGGGTTTCATACTGAACCTCCTGGAGACAATTCTGATGATTTACATGGAGTTTATTGTCAATTAATAGGTGGGTTTGGCTTATACTACTTTTAACGCTGTTGATTTGATTTGTTTACTTAATTAAAAATGTCTCACAATCTTGATTATTTTCTAGAACGTTTGTCTTATGTTTTGGGTGGTGTCACTATTTTTATTTCAAATGACCACTCTCAAATTTACATTCAACTATTAAATTTTGTAATTTTTTTAAATACTTTAGTTTAATAGTGGCTAAATGTAAATAAAGTATTAAAAGTACAAAGTCAGGTTGCAGAAAGATTGGCCAAATCTTTTTTTTTTCATGCTACAATCACAAATTGGATAAATTTCCACAAATTTTACCACTATAAAGTAGCAAGGAGATGGTATATTGTTTTATTTTATTGCTATTTTCTTTTGCCAAAAATATAAAAAGATACAAGCTATGAAACTGATCCCCCCTCCCCCCCCTTTTATAGCTAAAACTTTGTAATATCAGACAATGAATCAATTTTCAAATCTTCCCAATTTGATTTGGGTCTAGACTTTGATTAGGTCATACAGTTTTCATTCAGCAAGGGATTTATTCTTGGTAATCTTCAACACACACCAGATTTCTGGAGCGCATGACCACTAGCTTTCTTGTCAAGAAATACTCCCATCTGAGCTATGGATCTCTGCAGTTCCTCCAGAGTTTTTTCTTTTTAATGGACATTATGTAATATGGTGTTTAACCATTATAGTATGTAAGTCAGTCAAGTACACTGTAGTCTTTTGCAAAAACTGGTAGCAGAAACTGTAAAGGTTTACGAAGACTGTAGTTGAGTAAATGTATCGTTCATCACTGGGAGATAAATTAGTAATATTTTATTTTTTCTTTTGTCCTCATATCTGGAACATTTTGGGGTCCGAGCTAGTTAAAGCTGCCTGAGGTGAATTACCCGCGTCATTAAAAATAATGGCCTCGGCAATAAATGTACAGTATTATGAAATTAATTGAGGTCAGACTCATTTGGCCTATCCACCTTTGTCTTTTGCAAAACGTGTCCCTCAGATCTGCTGGGATTCAACCTGGAGGGCCAAACGCAGTGACTATACGCTGACTAAAGCATTTCCTCTTACAGTTATGGATACCCGCTCTTTGGTGCTGCAACGGTGCTCTTATTGTCAGCCCATCTGCCATTGGTGGAAACCATTGAGCAGCCGGGCCTTCACCTTCCCCCTCGTCGATCCCTTTCCTCCCTCTTCATTCTCTGAGTTATTGGCCCGCTGGCCGTGCATCACCACCACCACCGCTGCCTTATCATTATGATACACTCAGTGAACGGCTGAGGATAGGTCAGGTTTCCAGGAGACGCGAGAAAGCCCGCGAGCACTCAGACCTGACTGAAAAGGAGGAGGTGGTAAAGTCTTCCATTATGCTTCATTTCAAGGTGTTAAAATAAGTCCCCATCGACTTAATCATTTGTATAATATAAGGTGATTTCAGCAGTTTCACCAAATGAGAAAATCTCCTTTATTGCTTTAAGGTCTTTATGAGCTGTGTCATCCCAAACGTATGGATGTAACGTCGGCATGGACTTAATAGTTCTTATTTTATGGTGTGAAGGGGGAAACTCACTTAACCTGGAGATACATCACGGCCAGAAGAATTAGCCGAACAAATGTTGATGAATAGAATAGATAAAAGCAGTCAGGGTGACATCTGAGATTAAAGAAGATTGGTCTGTTATTCAGCTTAACTGCTGAGAAGGCATCAGAAAGCAAAATTTACCATAATATTCTACCGCTAATGCGTCATTATTACTTAATGCCTTATATCATCACATAAACTTTGTTAGACGGTTAAAACAGCCTTAATGTACCTTTTAATTTCAACTTCAACATGTTTGATTTTTTTTTACTTTAATGTCAAGTTTGAGTTCATGTTTTTGAATATTGAATATGACCTCTAAGCCCATAAAGGAGAGATTTTCTTTTTTTTTAAAAAGTACAGATAAACATTTCTATAAACATTTCTATAAATTAGCCTAAGCTGGAGGGTTAGTAAGAAAACCGAATGAATCATGCTTGAACTACTAGACTACAAGAAATTAAATTCCTTTAATAAACCACATTTCTGATGTTTTTTTTTATTAAAAGAGACGACCTTCCTGCCAACAAAAAAGCATAACTTCAACCATGACTGCCTGGAGCGGTGTGTGTATGTGCTTTTGTGACCTGATATCTGTCGGAGTGGTGGGCATCTTCAGATGACAGGGGTGACACCACCGGAGACTCTCCCTCTCTCTTGATGTGCACTGACAAAAGCATCGACTGGAGAGGCAAACAGAGAAGGGAGAAGAAGAAAAAAAGTCATCTTCTACGCAAATGATCTTGTCATGTTGTCACTATATAGAGAAATGGTTATTCTATAACATATTTCAGTCTGAAAGCTACAACAGGATAATAAGGAGCAAAAAAGTACGGAGATTTGCTGAGGAAAAGATATCGAAGCTTCTGCATGTTTCCCCTAAACAGTTTAACTTGAGAAAACACGGAAAAAATTTGAAAAGGTTAGCGTAGCGTCAGACATTTTCCCAACCATTTGGACTGCAAATGTATTTACGAATAAAAACTTGAATTTCGTGCAAAACACGTGACATTCTGATATAGTTTGGTAGCAGTAGAAGAGCAGGTAGCTTAAGTTTGAAAACTTTAATAGCAAATATCTGTTTGCATTGCATAGACGGCACAAAAAAATACCGTCTGCTAAGAGCCGGTGGTGAAAACGAGAACCTATACAGCTGCTGGACTTACAAAGAAAATTGGTTCTAAAAGATGCTTATACAGTGTTTGATGACCTCAAATAAATTAACTTTACAAAGAAGAAACATCCATATTGTACAACTGTTGGTTATGGAGCAGTGAGGAAAAAAAAACTGCCTTTCTGCCGTTGAGCAGCAGTTTGCCTCGCTACTGTGGCGCTCAATTAAGCTGAGAGTTTAAGTTAGGGAAAAATAAATTAGTGTCCAACTAACTGTACAATTTAAATAGATCTTAAAGTGTTTATTGATGTGTAAAAGGCAACCTTGCCGTAATAAAAAAAAACAACAGAAAAAGAATAGGGAAGCAGATCATTGTCTTTATTTCAAAAGCTAAACTTCAGAGAAGAGAAACCATGTAAAACATCAGATGACGTGTTAGGACTGACGAGTAAGCAACCGTGCAAAACCCAAGCAACTTACTACAAAACACTGCAGCTGAGTGTAAAATGTGAGAATTTTCCTTATATGTAGTGCAAAATTTTAACACTTATTTATGTCCCTCGAAGGTCTACGACGCAGCAAAGACCCGGAATCATTACCCTTGGAGAACCCCGGCAGTTATTGCTTCAGCCGCTAAGGGCGACGCGTCACCGATGATGACTGTAACCTGCCTGACTTTGTCTATAAAACCCCTTCCTCTGATTAGACTTAATGTTTATGGGACGTTAAGAGGAGTTAGGGAAGAAAGAGCGATTGGAAAGTGAGGAAGCCCTCGGAGGGAACAGGAGGAAGTCGAGGAGAGGGCTGGCGGGAGAGAGGGTAAACATCTGACATTACAGGACAGCGCCTGTCCATAAATCTGTCCCGCCACACTTTGTGCTGCCGCTCTGGCACACGCGCATGCTTATAAAAGAATATCCTCTTCTAACCCTCTTCCCTTGTGGCAAAGACAGTCAGGGGGACTCTCGCAAGTGACCGAGGAGCAAGGGTGGTTAGAGGAAGACGAGGGCATGAGAGAACGGGAGGGGAGAGGGAAGGTAATGTATTTGTTTTACAACTGTCGGCCCTCACTCTCTCACTTTCTCTCCCTCCGTACTTATATTTTCATTTGTGCTTATGTGGTTGTTTTGGTTTTTTTTTCTTCTTCTCTTTTTACAAGGCAGCTGTGAAATATTTGTATTTACAGTCATCTCCTATTAATCAAGTGGAAAGGGGCAGAGCAGAGGCTTAAGTGCTCGACAGCAGTAATCTAATAATAATATGTGAGAAATGACCAACCTCCAGTGCTGCCACAGTAAATTGGACATTATGCATGGTGCTTTTCTGCCTCTCTGAGTGTGTGTGTGTGTGTGTGTGTCTGTGTGTGGAAGTACGTGTGTATGTGTCTGATCTTTCTTCTTTTTCACAGGTTTAAAAAGGTCAGGAATCCTTTACCTGAAGGGGCCGTCGAGGAATATATTTAAGTTTTATCATTAGAATATGACATTTAGTGGTAATCTACAAAGAGGTTATAAATGAAGGTCTTTCTTCAAATTTGGTCTTTAAAAAGCGCTAATTAAATCAACATGCAAAAAGACCAGCGTAAAAAAAAAAATCCCCGCTAGAATAGCGATTACGTCTACGACTTCGGATGTCGGATATCTGAACATGGTTCTTTTTCGAATGCGTTACATTTTTCTCTACAAAACTACCTTGCGAGTACAGCTGAAGACAAAGAAGAAGAAGAAAAATAAGGAGGTGTTTTGGGGTTAATCCCGGGTCTGAAATGGATGGGTGGTGCACAGCAGCCGGGGGAGAACAACAACAAGCCCGTCTGCTTCAGACCGGTCCTCTTCATTCTCCACGGCCTGCCGCAGAATACTAAACGACAGCGGTAAGATGCGCAGTCACGGCTGCCGAGGAGGGCCAGCGCTCACCCCTCAACCCTCCTCCACCTGGCTCACTCGAGTACGAGCCCACCCGCAGCACCGCCAGCGCTCCGTTTTAAGCCCGGGTCAGCACCTTCTGCACCAAGAGTTGGGAGGGGAGGGATGGGGGCACTGATTTATTCAAGATCCTCTGGTGGATTTTCGCTCGAGTCAAAGCGCGCCCTGACTCGAGGTGTTCGACTTTCTGCGGTTAGAGGTTGAAGACGAACGTGGATCGGGGTGGCTTAGGTTTGGCCTTTTCAGAAAAGTCACCCTAGGTTTTTATTGTTCATGTGTTGCTCTATGAAGATGAGACTAATTAGATTAAAAACTGGAGGTAACATTTGCTCAGCTGGACTTTTTAGACTACATGTTTTTGTAGTATGGAATCAAGATGATACAAATAATCTGAAAAGTGTAGCATGCATTTCATTTGCATCCAGCCTTAGAGTCAGTACTTTGCAAAGCCACCATTTTTTAGGAGGTACAGGGGTTTCCCCCAAAAATCCAACTAAGCCCAGTTATAGTGGCACTAGGCCAGCCCATCAGTTGATCCACTGCGTTTTTATTTTTAAAAATGTTAGACATTAACAGAACATTTTGGAAATAAAACATCAACAACAAAGAAAATTAAGCAGTTTTGAATAAAACTAGTCTTTCTGTAGGTTGTGTATGCCATTATCTTTTTAAAAAGATCAGTCAGCTAAAGGTTACTGATGTTTTATTATTCATCAACCTAGTATATATATATACATATATATATATAATTTAAACTAAACAAATGATTATTAGCCTGGTGGGTGGGGAAGTAGAGCCTGGTGGCCCACCAGGCTCTACTTCCCCACCCACCAGGCTAATATTAGACTGGGGGAAACCCTGAGGTATGTCTTTCCCAGTTTGTACATCTGGACATTGACTTTGCAAAAAGAGCTCAAACTCAGTCAGATTCTTTGACATAAAACGTTTAATTGTAACCCAACTGCATGCTTCGTGTTGGATGGAGGAACCTCAACTGGAGTTTAAGATCTTTCAAGAGGTTTTCTTTCAGGACAACCCTGCATTTAGCTCCATCCATCCTTCCGTTCACTCTGACCCGTTTTCCTGTCCCTCCAGAAAAATCCTTTCCCTCAGTCTGATGCTGACACCACCATGTTTCACTGTGAGACATGGTGCATTCAGGGTGGTGCGATTTTGTCTCGTCTGACCAAATCATTTTTTTCAAGACTGGTATTTATTCTCTGAGGGTTTATTTGAGGTCTATTCGAGCTATTAGAGTAAAAGCGGGCTGACCACCAATGCAAACCGGACTTTTAAGATTTTCTTATCAAAAAACAGTGTTATTTTTCATCTACATGATTATGCACTACTTTGTGTTGATCTTTTAGATAAAATCCTATTCAGGTTTATGATTGTGCCTCAACAAAAATGTGAAAACAGTGGCAGGGTGCGAATACTTTGGCAAGAAATTGTAGTTATTGACATTATGCCGTGTCAGAATACTTCTAGAATGCTCTCTGTCTGGCAGCTCAGGAAGTGCTCCTTAAATCTCTCCTCGTCTTATTAGAAAACCAGAAAATACATTTCCTTTTGGACCGGCTGCCTGCGAACCGCAGGACTCAACTCTGGGTAAGTTTGTTGGTGGGAAACACAAGAAAAGATGTGCGCCAATCTGAGTGACAGGACAGCAATGAATCATTCCAGCAATGTTACTTCTAAACTAAGCAAATCACATCCACACAAAAGACAGACGCTGCTCTGAAATACGAGCCTGTCCTTACCTTGGGAGTTCCCGGAGTGGCTACGCCATCCTTGGACGAGGGGTTCTTACTGCAATCAGGAAACAGGACAAGAAGGAATTTAGTGAAGATTTATACGATAATGTGGTGCTGAGCCGAGTCTGGGCACGCGCTGCGTGCTTGTTCAGCTCGTTTCCCTTGATAAAACAAGCAATGTCTGTAAATTTTCAGCACATCGGAGAGCAAATTCTCCGGACTCTTGTTAATATGTTAACGTGCATTTTATCCGCTGCTCTTCCTTTTGCCTTCATCCCTTTTTTGTTTTTCGTCCGGCACTTTGCAGCTGCTACGACCACCAAAAAGCGACGCGGCGTTCTCCAACGCCGCTGCGCTTTCACACAAACACGGAACATGTGTCCGGGAGGCGGGAAACAACAGAATTAGTCAGTGCTGCCAAACGGCGCTCACTGGCAGTCTGAAAATATGTTGAGGACCATCATTTGGCTGGGAAACAAGCGAGACAGCTTAGATTGGGAATGAAGGGAAGTCAAAAATGTAGAAAATTGACAGTTTTGCGCACTTATTCTGCCAACAAACCAGACATGTGACATTTCTCCTTGATGCTCATTCTCAATTGATCTACTCATCCTTCTTTCTACCTTCCCTCCCCGCCCCACCGTCCCCTATCTTTCTCTCTCTCTCTCCTTCACTTTCTTTCACTCAGACACTGAGATAAATTTCTCTGAGCCTCATGAAGCGTTGCAACAGGCTTGACATTGACACGGCGAGGCAGGGGTTGTCATGTTTGCTTTGAGACCCCGTTAGCAGTCCAGACCCTCGGACACGCTCACACAGGCGCAGTCACTCACTCATACACACACACACAGGCTAACAGACAGTGGCAGATCGAGGAAAGAACAGTGCCCAAAACTGAATTGAGCGCAACCTCTAATCTGACAGCATGCCCCGGTAGACCAGGGATTTCATTTTTCAACGGCTGAACGGGTGGATCATAAAAATAAGAGGCTTTATTTATGTGTTACTTATCTGACGGAAGAATTTGCAAACTGGCGTACAACAAGGACGGGCCAGTAAAACGTTATGCTCTGCCAAAGGAAATAGTATCTTGAAAAGAAAATAAAAAATATATATGTATATTAAACATTCATTTAATACCGGATATTTACATACATGCTATATAACTTATGAAACATGTTTTCCCTGCAAAAAAGCATCTAAATCTTACCAAGTCTTTTTTCAAGTTTCTAGTGTAAATGTCTTAGAAAACTTGAGACATTTTCTCAGCAGGAAATATGAGCTTGTTTTTAGTCAATAATTCCTTAATATTGATTAAAATTGATAGTTTCATTGGCAGAGTTTTTCACTTATAACAAGACATTTTTCCAAAGTAACAAGTGAAATAATCTGCCAATGGAACAAGCACTTTTTCATCAATATTAGGGAATTATTGACTTAAAACAAGCTCATATATCTGGCTGAAAAGCTGTTTGCAAGTTAGTTCCTGCTTATGTCGAGGTTTCAAGATAGTTACACTAGAAACTTAAAAAAAAATACTTGGTTAGATTTTGTTTTTTGCAGTGTACTTACTCTGACATTTAAAAAAAAAAGACTATGGTGTTACATTCCTGCCAAAAACACGCTCTACCCATCTGCACACTCTAGCCCCAAAATTGACCCCTTTTTCTGCTTACAGGGCGTATTTGTCAATTGGAGGCGTAAAATCTTCTGACTGGCCGGATTTTCAGCTGAAATCTGTTGACAGGAATCGGCTTCCACAATGGTCTCCCACATGATGAGAGTTGAAATATTCCACAGCGTCATCATAAATCCTTTCGATTATAACATGCATTGTGTGAAAATGGTGCTGAAATCATGTAAAGTTTTTCAATTCAAATATTGTTAACTGAGAAAATGAAATTTTGTCATTTCCATATGTAATTGATAAACTTTTCAAGTCTGTATTTTTTTAAAAACAAATCTCAGCTTTAACAGCCAGGTGTATGATTTAGCAAAAGAATAGGAAGAGAAGAGGCTATGGAAACCAGAAAGGAGAACCCAAAAATCAAATTTCCATCTATTTCTATAATGTTTGCCATCAGTGGGCAGCAAGCAACTTTGGCTGGCCTGTATGTGGCGCTGTAACACTGCCGTGGAAATGGAACAAAAACAGAGAAGAACAGGCACATGCACATAAAACACATAAAAGTAGTGGGGGGGTATGACATCATCAGTTATGAAACAATGCATATTGGTTATCTACATGATAAACAAGGGTGGAGCTTTAAGATTTATAGAACCAAGGAACCATTTTCTGAAAATTATCATGCCAGAAGTCCCTAAATCCAACTTCTGTAAAACAATTCCAGTGCGGATGGCACCCCACGCTGTCACAGCTAACATGTCTGGTCTCTTTAAAAGCAGCATTTGAGTTTGGAGCAGAGGTGGCTTTTGGTATGTGTACGGCTCTATGACAAGGGCGGCATGGCCTGAGGGACGGCGCAAGTGTGTTGCAGGTGGGGGAAGTTTATAGGCTACTTGCATCCAAAACATGTTTTCTGTTACTTATTTACAATAAAATATGTTTGTACATTCTAACGCAAATTGAATTGGTATCTGATCAACAGCTTCCGATTTGGTGCAAAATTAAAGGGCTAGTTCATAGTTTTTCATCTGGGCTTCATTTGACCAGGTGCTGATACAGCAACTGTGGAAAGGCCTGAAAACTGTGAGCGAGGAGTCGGCACTCGTGCTTACAAAATCTAACCGTGTGTTACAAACAGTAGCTGAGTGTCACGTTCTGGAGCGGGTACGCGAGAGCCAGTTAAGTTCTGCTCATGCACCTGTGGGCGTGCGTCTGCATCCGAGCGCGTCTGTGCCGGCCTCTCCTGTTCGGCAACAAAGAAAGCAAACACGGGGCTGACACAGCCAAGCTGCCGCGCAACGCAGCCGAATCTGCCAACCTCCCCCTCTCCCTCTACCTCGCACACGCCTCTTTCACTTCGCTCCCATCTTCTGCCTCTCTCTCATCTCTCTCCCTCGATCTCCCCTTTTATTCATTACCTGGAACCTTCGCAGAGGCGTCAACAATAACAGCCACCTCCACCTGCTTGTTGACAGTGTCAAACAGCGACGAGAGCGCGAGCGAGACGGCGAGGGGACAGCAGTTGCGTGCCTGCCGCGATGAGGTGTGAGGGGGGGAAATTGCCACATTGACAGAGAGGGTGATGGAGAGATGAAAGGAGAGTGGAAAAGGGTGGTGGTGTTGGGGAGGGTGGGGGTAACGCGAGGTGAAAGAAAGATGTGGTAAGAGAGGATGAGCGGGAAACACAAAGAGGAATGATGAAAGGAGACAGAAAACGAGAGGAAGAAAAAAAAGAGGGAGTGATAGGAAAGTTGGCGCTGCCTCTTCTTACGGGTTTACACGTCTGTTCGCCGTGGTTTCTATGAATTTTTGATGGTGGTGGTGAGGATGTGTGGGGAGGGTTAGGACGCCCTGGAAACTCCAGCTGGCTGGCATGTCAAAAAAAAAAAGAAAAAAAAAAAAAAGAAAAAAAGAACAACGGGAGGCAGAAACCCCGCCAAACAAGCAG